TATTAATAACTTCGTTTATCGCCGAGAATTCTCTTTCTTTCAATGTAGCTCCCAATTTAATTGAACTGTGCAAACAGTTGAGCCGCGATCAGACGGCACTAAACTCGTTGGAAATGTCCAGGACTACCGCATGTTATAAGATGAAATATGGAAAATATTCATCTATTAAGGAAAATATCATTAAAACTTTATAGGAGACTCCATTTTCTCTAAATTTGGATGAAAGTACTAGCAATGCTCAAGAAAGTATACTGGCAATATTGGTGCAGTTTTATGACAACAATCAAAATGAAGTTGTAGTTCATCATTTTGCATCTCTAAAGATGGAATCTTGCAATTCAGAAACTGTTTTTAAAGCAGTTTTTAATACTATTGAAGATAATAATATTCCATGGGCAAACTTAATTAGTGTATTAATGGACTCATGTATCACCATGCATGGAAAAAAAAGGGTGTTGAAACCAGACTACGATCAAACAAAGCACATCACTTATTAGATATTGATGGTGACACATGTCACACAGCTAATAACTGTGCAAAAAAATTTGCTTCATGTTTTGATAGATACTTAGAAGATTTGTTTGATGACATCTATTTTGATATGAAAAGCTGCAGTAAAAGAGAAAATTTTTTTCAAAATCTGTGAATCCCTTGCCATTAAAAAACTTAAGCCCTTGAAGAGACCAGACCATAGGTGGGTGTACATTTTATGTGTTTTAGAAAGAATCAAAGATCTGTGGGATGCTCTTATTGCATTTTATTTTCACTACTTGGAGAAAACTGATAAAGGGAATTATTTTTCTTATGTTGAAACTGTATACAATAAAAGAAATATTTCTGCAGCTCAGAAAAAAATTGTTGAAGGGGTGTATTCTTGCTTGCATTCCCAACAACTCACAAAGGATGCTGTAGCTCGGAAAAAAAGAATACTAAAAGGGTTATTTGCTATGCAAAACAAAACTTTATTGCATATGGCATTATATTCAGCAGTATTACCAGAGTTCAACACATATATTAAATTATTTGAAACAAAAAAAAAAAAAAAACCAATGCTTCATTTAATACATTCCAGTATTTATAAATTGATGGCAAAATTTTTCTCTTTTTTGATGAAGCCAGAAAATATAGAGTGCACATCTTATAATGATTTATTAAAGGTTGATGTCGCAAATCCAGAATTCCATCTACCTAGCAAAGTAATATTTACTGGTGCAGAAGCTTCCACTCTCCTGAAGAAATTATCAAAAAATCATCCAATAGCAAAAGAATTCCAAATTTCTCTCATGAAAGCTTATACTAATACATCACAGCATATGAAACAGAAATTGCCCCTTAAAAATTCATATCTAATTAGTTTTACAGCATTAGATCCAGAGCTAAGAGGTAAAACCAGTGCAATATTAGCTTTTGAAAAATTATCATCTTTTATGTCTCATATTTTTAGTGATAATGAAAAGTCAAAAGTAGAAGCTGAAATAAGGTTATACCAGAGTGATATTGATATCACCAAAAAAATGCTCTACACATCTGATGAAAGTGGAAATCAAGTCAAGTGTACAATTGATAAATATTGGTCTAAAGTTTTTAATTTAAAAGATGATTTCACAACTGATTATAAGTATCCTACATTGGCTAAATTGGTCAAAGCCTGCCTTAGCTGCTTCCATGGCCCATTAGTGGAAAGTGCATTCAACTTAATGGATACACTTGTCACTGACTATAGAACCTCTCTTAAGATTGATTCCCTAGATGCAGTGCAGACTATTAAATATGATTTAATGGCTTCTGAAGAAATCTCTTGTGAAAAATATGGCTCAAAAAATCCAATGACTGATCCAATTCACAAAGATCTCTTACTGAATTTGAACAGAAGTTGGAAAACATATCAAGAGGACTTAAAAACGTGTATTTCAGATGAGTCACCTATAAAAGTCTCTGAAAAACCTTCTACATTAGTAGAAAAGCAAACTGCTTCTACCTCTGCATGTGCAGTTCTCGAGGAAATTTCTTCAACTGTAAATGAGGAAAATAAAAGTCAACCTTCCTGAAATTATGAAGTTCACCACAAAAGAAAGACAAGCCCACAAACATCAGAAAAAAAAAAAGCAGCAGAAATTAGATAATTTTTTTAAAGAATTAATTCAGGTAATTTAAAATATTTGCATAAAATGTAGTAGTTTATATGTTTGAAAATTTATGGTTATTAATTTTGCAAAAAAAGTAATTCATTGAACTTTTATAATTAGCTCATTCAATACTTCATAATTGTAATTTTTCATTTCTCTCCACCCCCCTTCTCGAAACTCCAAAATGTCGGTAGTAAGTCCGTAAAAGTTTCAGGGGATTTTTTGGGGTCCCACAAACACCCCTGTAATGGCTCCATGAAGTGCAAAATGTACAATTGTGGCATGCCTTATGCTTAATACCCTGCAGGGGCATCACCTGTGTATGTTGTGTAACCAACACCGTGATTCTGCTATCATGTGCTTCTTATGAAAACTGGACTGTCTTTTAACACGCAATCAGAAACCAGAGATAATGCTTTCAGATTTTTTTTTTTCCTTAAATTTTAAAGCTGTATAAATATGAAGCATCCGTGCCGAAAACTGCTTATATATTTTTCATCATTCAATGAAAGCAATGCACACTTGTGCTATCTTCTGAAAATTATAATCTGGTTTCTATATACTGCCTAGTATTTTCTAAAAATATGCAAAGATAACTTATCACATATTCTTTATTTTTCCATTGAAAGAAAGCTTACTTAATGTGTCCCCCCCCCGAAGTATGTCAATTTTTAGGTTCCTTATAGAATACTTACAGACAAGTAAAGCTCATATATTTTATGCTGTTTGAGTATACAAACCATTTATTTATTTAGTAATTTGAAAAACATTTGTAAAATGTTAGGATCATTCATATATGTGAAGCTATCTTGTATTCAGACCAGTACAATATTTTATTAACTTTGACATGTAGCTTATAATACCATATGCTCATTAAAAGGAATTTTGCTAAGCTGTTTATTGTTTACTGAGTTTTAGGGTGGGGAAGAAACTCGGTGAACTCTTTCAACAACTGTTGAATTTCCAAAGAGCACATCTGCCAACAGAAATTGACATTAGAATACCATCTGAATCCATTTGTTTAATTCTTACTAAAAAAAAAAAACCTTAAAATTATAAGCATTGATTGATTTCACCTTGTAACTTTAGTCTACAGTGCTTAAACTGTTGCTCAAAATGGGATAATAAATTAGTAAAAATAAATTTATGATTTGATCAAAGTTATTTAAAATTAATAGTTTAATCTGAAATAAACTTAAAATATTTGAAAATTAACTCTAAACATGAATTTAAAAAGACTTGAAAATAATATGTTTTTGTCTGCATATGGGTTCGTAGTGGATTGAATGCAGACAGAACTGATGATAGCTTGATAAAATTTATTTTCCCAAATGAAACACTTTACAATTCTGTAGCTTTTTTACAAAAGTACTTGTATGGCTCTTCTCAGTACGATGGAGCACAATCAGTAGTTACCATTTCAGACTACTAAGAATGTTAAACACAATGTAATGCAAAGTGCATCTAAAGAGCAAAGCTCATATGTAGGTCTCTCAATCCTCCGATGTCAACTTCTGAACTAAAAACTTAGAACTAATGCTGTCTCGGTTCTTATATAGTTTCCCCTGGCCGCTGAGGAATTTCTAGTACCTTCCATTTCTCAAAATTACTGAAAGGCATATATTGTTAAAGTTACATAATAAGTGCTGTATATGGTTACAGTTACATATAGGAATCAATTACAGTTAATCAATTGCAATACCAATTATTTGTACAGGGGCCAGACCATAATATCGCCAATTGGTTACCAAGTTTGGCGAATTTTGCAATTTCTCTCTAAATTTGGAGAAAAATTAGTCACCTAAACCATCGCTAGTTTGCTCATATCTTGCCAATTTAGCAAGATAACCATTTACTTCAACATTAAATAGATTTTCCCCTATAATCTTATATCCCCCAAAGCTTCACATTTCTTGATTCCATTTGTGCTGCTTTATCCAAAATTCATAACAGTGTTCAGAAAATTCGAACACAAAGGGGGAAAAAACTCCTGCAAATGCCTTTTGGCTATGTACATTAAAAATATTTTCAGAAAATATTTCTCTTTTGCGTTTTCTCAGAATACTGTAATTAATTTTAATAAGTTTATGTTGAAATTGTCTGTAAAGAATAAAAGTTAAATTTTTACCATTATCAATGTGTGTGTGTGATTATGGCAAAGTCTCGAGGGCTATCTGCCTAATGGGAGGAATGCCTTCGTGGAGGACTTTCTAAGGGAAACCGGCTCGTATACACGTTACACATGGAAAAAATCACGAAAACGCTCATGCAGCCAGCACGTTCACGGGATTCGAACCTCGGACCGAACTACCAGTGTTCAGCGACTTTACCGCTCGGCCTTTATCAAAACGATTCTTTAAATGAAACTGGGACGTTAAAACATTTTTACATTTTTATATTAATGATGCATGTTGGCTGCCATTCTGCATTCATCCCATATCCTGAATAAGCTAATATACAGCATAAATTCCAATATAAAAGCTAACAGCATAAATTTCAGTATAAAAACTATAAAGAAGCCAAATAAGAGATAAAATATCACCTTGGTAACCAAGTGTGATCTGAAGGCAACATAGTGAAGAAAACTTATTTCACTTTCTAAATTCAGTGGAGGAGGACATTTTCTGAATTGTATCCTCATGCAAACTTGCCCACTCTTGAGATAGTTTGGATCAAAAGATCTTATCATTTTTGTGAAAGACTAATTGAGTACTCACCTTGATTATTGTTAATGTGGTTTCCTTAGAAAAGCCATGTCACTCAGGGAGGTTAAAGCATGCTGGTTGCCTGTGCTGTGTTTATTGCCAACATGCAAATTTGTACCACAAACTGATGATTAACTTATATTTTATATACCATTAAATTATTTTTCAGGTACTAGGTTTCGACCTCTTTCCTTTGATATTCCAAAACCACTTTTTCCTGTGGCTGGTGTTCCTACAATTCAGCACCTAATAGAAGCATGCTGCAAAGTTCCAAATATGCGAGAAATTTTACTCATTGGATTTTATCAAGCAGATGAATCCATTACTGAATTTACATCTTCGATGATAAGGGAATACAATGTTAATATTCGGTATGTCTGAATTTTGTGTTTTAGCTTAATAGTGATAGTTTGTGAGTTTAATGCATCTTACAAATTTTTGAGCAATACACCTTTTTAATTGATATGCTTAATCATCATTATTTAGTTCTATACTCGTATCAAGCATTTGAGTTATATATGGTAAAATAAGAATGCAGACTTTAGTTCCATAAACACTGCTTGAAATTTTATGACCATATTTTATTGGAAATAGAAAAATAAATATTTATTTTTATTAGGCTAATAGACTTTAAAAAAGGAAAATGTTACATGTTGTGAAGCCTTCATAAGAGCAAAATTCAGTAATTTCTGTTTACTTGCACCTCTACAAAAAAAGTCTTCATTTTAGAGAGAAACATTTATGTGGATATCTTTGCATCTATTTCAGTGATACATTTAGTGCTGCCCCCTTTTTTTTATTTCTTCACTTTACATAAAAAAATATTCTTCCCTTGTGCACTGTGATATGTTTTTGTTAAGACAAAAATCAGAGAATTTCACTACCTTTGCATTCAGCACTGCCATGATCACGATTACCCACAAACAGTTAAAACTTCAGCATACACTCCAACATGATGAAACTAAAAGAGTGCAGACTCCACAGCTCCATTATAGTTCGGTACAGTAAATGTACTCATTTCAAAAAGAAAAACTAATACTAAAGAGAAAAATAACCATAAATTTTAAAAGGAGAAATCTACATACTCACACATACATATGCTACACATATTTCTGGGTTGCATCATAAAATATGTTTTGGCGACATCGTCAGTTGCTTCATTAGTATTTTTTACATGGACATATGGTGGGATTGTGGTTAATCAAAAAGTATCTAACTCTAGGTACAATAAGACTTATAAGATGGTACTTAAAAGAACAAACTTTATCTTGTAGGGTTAGGAACTTGATGGTGGCTTTCATGACTATTATAATGTCTGATGATTGTCATAACCTAATGCAACATATTTAAGTGATATTTATCAAGAAATTTTACTTAAAAACATGTAAAATATGAAAGCAATAGTAATTAATATTCAAACAAAGTGTGCCAGATCACTTACAAAAGGAATGTGGGTATCTTAGAAACCTTTTATTTAAGTTATAAATAACTTAAAACCATGCTTGGAACAAAAAAGATGTCAGAACAGGAATGTAATGTGTTAGATCATGCATTGCTGTGTAGGAGGAGCAGCAAAAAATATTGTGTGCTGTATACAGCACTAATGCTGTTTTTGAGAGTACAGTAAAGAAATGGTTTCTTTGGTTTTAGGCAAAGAGGTTTTTCTTATCTGATGATATGTATTCAGGAAGACTCAGATTTTGATGAAGATTGCTTGACTCTTTGAAAATCAAAGTCTTCGCTAACCTGTAAGTTAAAATACCAAACTGCCTAAAATGATTTTCGAGAGTCAAGCAATTTCCTCACTACCCCCCATCCATTAGCACACAAAGAGTGAAGATTTCAAATGACATCCTTTCTACTTCTAACCAATAAAGATAAGAAACGACATATAAATCCTTTTAGGGTGAGCTGCCTGCAATAAACCGATACAATGCATTTGGAGAAACTGCATACCTTAGGGGAGGGAAGAAAACAGCATTGGAATTTCGGCCGTTTAGGACGGTTATGGTTGTCTGAATGAAAGGCCGTCTGAGCTGTATTGGTATTCAGAGTTAAAACTCCATAAAAAGATGTGGGATTTGGCATTACTTATGAAATGTAATCATTCAAATGTTCTGCTTAATTTGCATTCACGGGGGGGAGGTATGAAGGGCTTTGAACTTATGCATTCAAAAGGCTTTGAACTTGTGCACTCAAAAGTCTTTGAATTTATGCACCAACCCAGTACTTACATTCCTATGGGTGTCAAGTCATTGGTGGCAGTATAGTATGTTTATATCTATCTATAGCTTATATAAAATGTTATTTTATTTACTCATTTACACTTCCCGACATTGAAACTGAAACACCAAAGAGAAGTGTCCTGAAAATTATGCAAATTTCATGGTAGACACACGTCACAGACTTGATGTGAATTGACACACGTCAGCGAATGATGTGAAATGTGCAGCTGTTCAGCACACGTTGACGAAGATGTAAGGAAAGGAACTTGCAGAATGTTCAATTTTCATGCCATTATTTCTGCTAGGGAAATCATCATAGAAAATTTTTTATTGTCTCAGAGGATGCATGTAATAGCAAAGAGTGTCATGCTGTCGTCAACAAAGGCAGTTCCAGTAGATGTATGATTTTATGAGCGGCATGTTAATCGGGCTGAGAATGGCAGGCTGGTCCATATGGCAAATCTCAGCTGACACATACCAGGACACATTCACAGTGCACTGGCTGTGGCAATGATGGTTGGAACAAGGAAATGTGGCAAGTTTGAGGGGTGTTAGTGCAGCCAGAGTGACATCAGCTCTCATGGATTCCCGCATCCGTCGATGAATTGTGGTGCACCCGCAAGCCACTTCTACCTGAATTCTGCAGCATGTTCAAGATACCCTGGATGTTCCCATATCGACCAGAACCATTTACCGTTGATTGGTGCTAGTGGCCTGTACTCATGGCATCCATTTAGAAGACTGCCATTGATCCCACATCACAGATGCCAACATCTGCAATGGTGCCGGACTCGAGCAATGTCACAGAGTCATGTTCTCAGATGAGTCATGCTTCTGTTTCTCCAATGATAGTTGCCACATACGAGTATAGTGTTGATGTGGAAACAGGTCCAATCCAGCAGTAGTTATGGAATGCCTCAATGCACAACAGTGTGGCACCATGGTTTGGGGCATAATTGCATACGATTCTAGGTCACCTCTAGTTCGTATTCAGGGCACTATGACAGCCCAACGCTACATGGATGATATGCTGTGGCCAGTGAGAATCTCCTACCTCACGTGACCACATACTGCATGCATCAGCCAACATGCTCTGCAAGGTGTACAGGTGCTTCCCTGGCCACCCTTCTCTCCTGATCTCTCACCAATTGAACACATTTGGCATGTAATTGGACACCATTTGCAGACCCTGCCATTGCAGCATTCGGTAGACAAACTGTGGCAAATGATTGACAGGGAATGGAGAGCCGTTCCTCAGGACACCATCCATAGTTTTATTGACCAAATGTTTGACCATATGTACTTAGACGTGTTGCTTTGTGTATCGCCGTCCAAGGTGGTCCTACAACATCAGTTTCGCATAGTGAAGTAGAATAGACAGTTCCTGAGATGAACACACATCCCTGATTTTACAGTCATTCATTGGGAAAACAGTGTTTATCAGACTTTTCATTTCATGCACTTTTTAGTGTTTTGCTTAATCAAAATTGTTATTAGTTAAACATGTTTAAATGTTGATTAAATCATTCCTGATCATCATGGTTCCTTTAATCTCAATGAAACTGTGTAATCTTTGATGATAATATTAAATAAAAATTATGGATAAAAATACAAATGTAGCTGCATAAGTAAAAAAAAAAGTTTTTTTTTAATTGTTCAGGATGAAAGATAATATTTTTTAAATTAGAGCCAGTGCTTGCTTTCATATCATTTGTATTTTTAACAAACATAACACATAACAATGTATAAAAAGGTAATGTGCAATGTTTGTCATGTGCAAATACTGTAGGAATGTATAATGTAAACTTTTGTAGTCAAAAAAAAAAAAAAAAAAAAAGATATTGGACGTTTAGAGGAGTAAAGATTTTTCCTGTCATCTGTCATTGAAATAAAAGAGCATGGATGACACAAAAATTAATGAATGATTGGTTTGAAAATCATTTTATACCTGAGGCTTGGCAACATTTTAAACGGGTTAGATTCCCAGATTATGCAAAAAGAGTCAATTTTAGACAACTGTTGGTCTCGTACTTCACTCTTAAGTTTTAACAAAAGGAAATTTCTGTATGTGGCTGTGTTATTCTTTCTAGAAAAGTGTTTGTCCATCTTTCAGCCAATTGATTGGAGTGCTGTGTGTACTGAAATGCAAATATAAAATAGCCTATGCTGTATTTTCTGGACAGTGAAATTTTCTGACAGCTCTGGAATTTTTTAAATATTTGAATATAAAATCACCTGTGTTGAGCATTGCAAGGTCATGGGAGGATGTGTCTTCAAATATTTTTAAAAATGCTTGGAGTAATTTTCATCCAACTACTGTATTTCATGGTTATGATGGCAATGACGGTCATGTTTAAAATATCAGATCTGAATTATTTTTATAAAGCATCTTGAAGTTTACCTATACTGCTTAATGAGTTGACTATGTTTGTTGTTTTATGATGAGATCTGTATATGATGTTTTGTGTTTATTCCAGGTATCTTCAGGAATATACATCTCTTGGAACAGCTGGAGGAATATATCATTTTCGTGATCAGATTCAGAGTGGGGATCCTGAAGCATTTTTCCTAATTAATGGAGATGTTTGTGGAGACTTTCCGTTAATAAATATGGTCCAATTTCATAAAAATCCAAATCTGAACACTTTAATTACAGTTCTAGGCACTGAGGTAAATGTAAGGAAATTTCTCTGTGATTCTTAGCTTTATAGATTATTAGTAAGTGTTTTGTTATTGTATTAGTACATAAGGATAAACATGGTTGGGCTATGGTGGAAAACAAGACATATACTGCCACACCACCATTCCGAGAACCCTATGAAGGAATCAGAATGTCGGCTATTTACCAAATGCATGTCATCATTGTTCCCTCTGCACTTTTTCTGCAAAATTATCTATTCCTGTAGAAATTTTACCACAATATATTCCATTGTTGGCAGATTCTATAGGCAAAATATTAAAATTGAGATTAAGGCAAGAAATATTACTATTTATGTTTTAAAAAAAAGCATTCAAAAATGCCATCATTGCTTGACCGAGGGATTGATGTGGCCGTGATTACCTAAAAAATGTTAATGCACATAATTGCCAGAGCTGGGCATATCTGAAAATTTGGGGCCTTCTATTAAGGTGATTGTGATCATACATAAGTACCACGAATTTATAACACCCAGCAATTTTCCAAGAGTATATTGTACATATATAATAAGCTGTGAATATGAAATTGATATCAAAATATCTGATATATATATATATATATCAGGCCTAGATAAAAAAAATCTTTTCCTGAAGAATTATGTTAATAATTTGGTCTCTGGAAAACAAGAACTTTTACAGAATTGGACTGAAAACTGAAATATCAATAGGACTCCAAAAATTTCACTTATTTTCATAAATATAACACCAAACTTTGTATTCTGCAGTTATTTAAAATTTGTTTAGATTAACATTTCATGATTTATATTTTTCATTTTTCTTCATTTTCTAAAACCTAGTGCCTTTTTCTCTAAAAAGTCCTCTTTGAAGATCGAGGAAGGGAAATGTAAGATAAAAAATATTTGAACTAAAATTCTAATTTTAATTTCCAGCAATGTCTTGGCTCTCCAATTTGATTTGATCATTTCTGCTTTCCATGCCAAAAATAGTAACTGCTTATAATAAACCTCCGTAAACTTCGTCAGGTCAAAATTAATAGCTGTCTTATGATTCTTGCTTAATACTTGCTTAATGCTCTTAGAGATAATCTAATTTTGGTTTTTCTTCAGCAACATTTTTTACTATAAAGTTTAAAAGTTTACATATATATAATAGAATTTAATTAGTAATTCATTCCTGTCAGCTCACAATTTTAAACATGCAATTGTTTTGTCACAATTTTCACATGTCAGTGAGTAACTATTGATAATATGAGCTGTAGCACCTTCAGATGTACATTGTATTAAATATAGAAACATGTCTTCTTTCACTGTATTAAATATAGAAACCTGTCTTGTTTTACAACATTTTCGTCTTCATATGTTCTTTTGAATTGGCTTAAAAAACAAGACAATCTTTGATTTTCCCACCAAATATCGAAAGTTTATCTTTACCAACTTTGGTTTTTAAATGGGTGAAGAACGACTGGAATTTTCAGCTTTAAGAATTCTCTTTAAATACATTTCTATGTTTACTTCTCCTTTTATAAAATTTTCATTATATTCTTCTATTATTGCATACTCATTTTGGTATTTTTTAATCATCTTCTATTAATGAAGAGCTTATTTCATGACTCCCAATTAACAAAGAGTAAATTCTATGTAAATTAGCAAAATTAGATTTAATGCTGTCTCCTTTGATATTATCCTCTTTTAAAACCATTGAAGCATTTCATAAAATTAGCTCATATATGTGAGTGTTTTTTAGCAATTCCATTTGCAGAATAATACATAAATCAATAAACATACCTTTAAAATGATCACATCATTTGAGTCACCTTTTTATGATAGATATCTGAATTTCATCCATTCAATCAGTTCTAAAGTAAAAAAACCGTGAAAAAGAGATAAGTAATTACTGAAGCTGGCAATCCACCTAAGTAATTAAATGAAACAGGCAGTCCACCTTAGCATTAAACATTATGTATTCCTGCATACGTCCTACGTGTCTTTTTTCTAAACATAAACTAAAACTAGTGCTGCCAAACCATAAAAAATAAGGAAAATTCCATTTATAACTGTTGAGTTGCTCGTAACGCATTGCATTTAGATCGTCAACTGAAATCTTGGTACTTCACCATTAACCCCTTAACTGCCGCGGAAAACGCCACGGTTTTTCACACGGACGTGCGTAGTTATGCGATGTATTTGGGGGGAAAATAAGTGAAAGTTTTACTTTCTAAAAACTGTTTACTTTCACAAAATGAAGAAAAAAATGAATGCACAAAATTTAATGTTTAGAGTAAAAGATGTAAATATAAAGATGTAATAATAAAAAGATGTAAGTATAATAAAAATGATGTTTTTATAATAAAAAAGATCCCTAAAATGGAGTTTTGATCAATTTATTTTTAGACCAGTAAAGTGTAATATCAGGTTTCAGTGTTATACCTTGTGAAATCAGTATGCCTAAAAAAATATATATTTCTTCTGAACTGGTTGAATGTCACGATTTTGTTCTTTATTTTTCGTTTGCAACCTGTTGTTTCATATACTCGTCTACAAAACGTTTAGTTTCAGTAACAATATGAAGCACGAGCAGTTCAACAAAAAATAATTCAAAAAAGATAAATGGGTTTGAAACATCCATTATATCTCTCTTTATTCCTGGAACCTACTACAAAAAATAAATGAAAACTGAGGACACAGAATAAAAAAATACGTTTTACTCAAACAACACCAGCCAATACTGCACAGTCATTACTTTCATTCCTTTAGACACATCCCTCTTTCCAATTTCTTCCCACACTTCTCTAAAATAGTATCCTCCTTCGCATACTTTGTCAAGGTCACTGTGGTGTTGCGTTCCAAAGCTTTGTGAATAATTTTACGGGTAGTAGCGCAAAGGAAATGATAGTATTTCGGAAGGGCATATATATACACTCGGGGCAGTTAACGCATCACCTGAGCAAGGCATATATATACGCCCGCGGCAGTTAAGGGGTTAAAGTAACATTAGTACCACCAAACTTTCTTGGCAATGCAAATATTTTGATTCTTTATATTTTAAAAATGGGTTTTAGGTTCTCCTGAAGCATTTTTGTTTGTTTTGAAATAAGAAAATATTTTTAACTTTATAACTCAGCAGACAACTATTAAGTAATTCAGAAGTCAAACAACAAAAATCAGCGTTAATTTACAAAATTTTCACAGGACTAGTTTCGATGGTTTTACCGAACCATCATCTTCAGCTGCAAAACCGCAAATGAACAACAGCTGCAAAACCGCAATTTGCGGTTTTGCAGCTGAAGATGATGGTTCGGTAAAACCATCGAAACTAGTCCTGTGAAAATTTTGTAAATTAACGCTGATTTTTGTTGTTTGACTTCTGAATTAGTATTTATTCGGCGTGTTATTGTGTCTTAATTAAGTATTAAATAATTAGCAATAGCTTTGTTTGTGTATTGTTAAATCTGATTTGAAGTTTACTTACAATGTACGTTTAAAGTGTTAGTCATTTATGTTTTTTTATTCTTTCTATACTTCATAAACACTGATTTCATATTTTCAAAACAGGTAAAGATTTTCAGGTTTTTGCTCACTAGAATTTTTTTTTTTTTTAATTTATTTAAGGTTCAGTATGTATTAGCCCGTTGAAGATAAAAAAGTGATCTCTTTGTTCAATTTCTTATGGAAAAAGGTCTCCTTTAAGCAATTCATATTGCTAAGAATGCACTTAATAATCCAGTTTTGTTCAGATTCTTCTCATTATGTAATGAAAATTCCATTTTCTGTTGCACTTTCAGCTTATACTTCTATTTTGTCATTATTTTTTGTGACAGGAAAACTGTTCATTTCATAGAACCTGATATTCGTACTCAATGACTTTTGACAAGTTAAAAGGCAAACTAGATTTTAAATTCTTTTATTCTGCCTCCCCCCAGATGAGTATCCTGTGAAATTGTGAGAAGTTGAATTCTCATTTTTGTTAGTTGGAAACATCATTATTTTTAAAAAGTTTCTGAAAATTGGAAAATTTTCAGAAATTTTGAAGATAATGATACTGAAATAATGAAACTCTAAAAGTAATCCTTGTGAACAAAATAGTATTGGCAACTGTTAAAAGAGTAAAAATTATGTAAATTTAATTTATAAATAATATCTATGAAATTAAATTTTTAAAAAAATTAAGTTTGATTAAAAACGTCTCCAGATTAACTGAAATCTCCCTTTTTTCTAAATTCTGCTTATTATTTATTTTTCAATAAGACTGAAGAATGACATGCTTTAAAAAGGTAACAGTGTTGATTATTTCTATTATTCATAAGCTAAGTACTGGCAGTTACTTAGTTTTTCTAAGTATTAGTCAGTGCTGATTTCGATTTTAAAGACAGTATCTTACAGAAAATATCTAATATCTGTAAAGAAATGCTGTTTTGCTGTTGTCTGTGCTAGCTTATTTTCAGGGAATGCTCAGTTAACAGCTACGACATTGAGCATTTATTAGAAGCAGTGTATGTATATTCTTTCTTTTATAGGTGAAGTATTATTTGGCAGATAAAAATATAATAAAAACTTGTTTATTAAATTCTTTAAAAAATTAAAATGTAAGTTTATAAAAAACTGACTGATGTTTCTTTCATAACTTGTTATATTTTTAAACAAAAATTTAAAGCCCTATGTATACAGTATGCACTAACCTTTGCTTGAAAGTAGTTTCTTCTATGAAATTATAGTTGCTTGGTTTCTTTATATTTCTGCATTAGAACAGCTTTCTGTAAAAGTATTAAATATGTTTTGTTATTTTTGAAATAATTTATGAGCATGAAAGAATTTTTTTGATTCATATCCCCTAAATGATTTTGTTTTTAATAAATGCAATATTGTGTAAGTTCCAAAATTATTACTGTATAGCATATTGTCTACTGTATTGTACTGTCTATTGTCTACTGTATAGTATATATATCTACTGTGTGGTATAGTATATAGCAAGTGTTTCCTTTCCCTTTTATATCTTGTGTATTTATATATTTTATTTATTTGTTAGGCTACAAGGCAGCAGTCACAACAGTATGGGTGTATTGTTGAAAATAAAGATACACATGAGGTACTTCTCTACTTATTGTTTCTGACATGCCTTTAAAAAAAACTTTTGTGTTAACATGTATGTACACACATGTAAAATAGTAAGTAAGTAAGTTTTTGGCTTCCCTGTTCCGGGAACTAAGCCCACTACAGGTCTACTCCCCCTTTGGGCACGTCGTGGAGGTTCAACCTCCACTATTACCCTCCAGGAGAGCAGCGCACCACCTGGATAAGACACCAGGCAGCACCGGTCGTCTAATGCTCCTACCAGTCGCTTGGGCGAGCCGTCGCAGCGGGACATTACCCAGCGACCTCGGGGAAAACCCCCGGATTACTAGAATCACGCCGCGCTAGGACGTGCCAGACTCCGAGGCCGGCCAATAAGTGACCTTTCCCAGAGCCCCTTCAGAACCACCAAGTTCATAAATTTTATATCCCGTGGCCGAGACTGCCTAGGTACAGATCCTAGCCAGTAGCTTCGCAGATTTCTCTACGTCGACCCCTGGGGGGGGCACATGTAAAATAATAATAATAAAGAGGTACATTCAAAAGGAAGTGTTGGACTGAAGCATCATTTGGAAAGAAGTTAGTAGCCACCAACAATAATAAATGATTCAAAAATGAGTGATGTGATGAATATTTATAGTACAACATACAAAAATATTATAACTCTCAATACTATGTCAAGCCACTATTATTTTCAATTCATTCTACCGTATGGCATGGAGTAGTTGAGGTCTTTAGCATAGCTCTGCTTTATCTTTTCCTGTGCATATTGTATTTTGTTTTACTGTTCTTACAGATGTTGTGGTAGTGCTGGAGTACTGCCAGAGTGGTCTTAGTATCCCTGGTATTTTTCTACTAGAGAGATGTTTAACAATAAAGCTGGGCATGGCACAGTATCTATGGATACATGTCAAGTCACTGAGCACTGAGTGGGCATTCACAAATGGCAGGAACATTGATTGAAGGATCTCATCAAACTACAACAACTGGTCTCTCAATGACAGAAAGAATTATTAAGGGAAAATCTAATTACACAGACCAAAAGGAAATTTTTCTTCAATTTGATGGAGCTCTCCCAATTGCATTCTACTCCTCATGAACAACAAGTATTACATTTTGCATAAAATATTTGTCAACAAATATTACATTTTGTAGAAAATATTTCAGCTAATAGACTAGAAGAGAAACACACTAATGTGACAATCAAAATCGTAAAAACAACCTTGTATTTAGCGTAAGTATATTGAAACACTCAATATACTTACGCTAAATACAAGGTTGTTTTTCCGATTTTGATTTCAGCTAATATTTGACTGCAGATTTGAAGTAGAATAATATGACGTCTTTTTATGGAAATTTCAATTTTTCTGTTGTCAGACACCTTCTCAACAATATATTCCGCCTTCCACATACGAACATTTTATCCAACTACCACCATACAATTTTTGAAATTAGAATTTGAAGCAACCCCTTGTACTTCTTTCCACATGTTGCAAAAGAGTCAGTGCAAAACTTTTGCACATTCCATTGTAGTGAAGGTGAATTTCAACAATGATCTTGATATCAATCAGCTGACCACCTTCCATTAGACTTCATTTAATAGATTTAACATAATGCTTTTTTCTAGTTATTCCTTTAATTTTTCTTGCCAGTGTATTACAAGTGTAAAATAAACATGTTTCAAGGAATTATATTTTTAATTTAATGTTAGTATGTATGATTGTGTGTAACAATTTATTGCAATTTTACGGACTGTCCAAACTCCTGTGAAATTCACGAAAAAATGACTGCTACTCGTCTAAGTCCATGGTGAAATATACCTGCATGCAGAGTGTTAAAATATTATTCCAAGAGAGAAGGCAGTTGCATAGGTAGTTGCTTTAATTTATTCAATTCTGTTTGCTGATAGGTCCATGAATATTTTCATTGATGGTCCTTAAAATTTCTTAATTCCATTTAAAGAAATCTGTATGAAACCTATTGTCGTAATGACACCTAAAAACAGTTTTACAGATTCCAAAGTATAGAATAACATTCTAAAATGTTATTTAAAAATATAAACATTGCTTGTATTATGTTTTAGATTAATTTAATGTACATTTACAGGCTAAGAACTGGCTGCCAGATTAAATATTTCTGTTCTACATCTAATATCTGGCATACTAAAACTGCAAATGTTACAAATACTGTAACTTAGTTTTTAACTTCAATATGGCTTTGAAAATAATTTTCATTAATTGTACATTTTTATGTGTTTATTTATGATCTTGAAAAATATGCATTATTTAGCAAACTCATTCTCAAATTCTTTTTCAAAATTTTGTATTATTTCCAAACTTGATTTTGTAGACTGGGGTTAGTTTGTTCTTTTTAATTTCTGAAATGCTGGTTGTTAACAAGTATTACATAAGTATTACATTTTGTAGAAAATACTTGGTACTAAGTATGCTGCCCTGTATTTAAATATGTAAGGGGTGTAGTATTTCTTCAATATTAAGAGAAAGCAGTTTTTTCCTTGTAAGAAATATAACTTATTATTTTAAAATATACAAGATTTGATATTTATTGACAACCATTCACTGTCGTATTACAGTCAAAAGTCGTTAATTTGGACACCCGTAATCTGGAATGATCTATAATCCAGACTTCAAAGCTACAAACTTTCTGCGCATGCGCCGCGGCGCATGCGCATAAAACCTTTACAGCTGTGATGCTAAAGCAAAGTTTAAAGTTTAAAGAAATTAAACATTTAGCAGTGGTAGCAATGAAAGCTCCCCGAGTTATGTTGTGCAGACATTGAAGACAATAAAAGATTTTGAACTTAACCAATTTATTAACAATGTAATAAAAAATAAAAACACGTAAAATAAATGCCAACAATATTAGAGTATTAGGAAAAACACAACATAATCATCATTCATCAAATATTTTTACCTGTACTCCAAAACACTGGCATTCTATACAAACAAAAAAAAGTAAATGTCCTAAATAGTGACTATGCAGCCTAAAAATAAAACTGGCTACCCATTCAATAAGTCCAAAATCAATGGTCAAGAAAACACCTGAAAAATTTAAATGTGAAAACACTTAAAACCGGCCTAACTCCGTTTGCACAAGGAGTCGTCGCCGCTCACGTATTTATAATTCCGCCCTCATTGAAGAAACATGGACGCCGCCCACGGCAGTCACTCACAGGATAGCCCCCGGAACCGAAGAACTTGAATCTGGAACCATCATCTCGCAAACTGGAATTAAGGCATTTTTCCACCGGACTGCATGCATCCCTTGAAGTTGCTGGAAACTGCTCACACACCAGCCGGGAAACCAGGAACTAGCAGGGTTGTGCCAGAGCGATGCGAGATACTTATAGCAGAAGTAGGAATGACGTCATCTCACAGCAACCAATCAGCTATCGGCACGAATCGGCTTTTCAGATGACGTAAATCATGTTTCGTTTTTGCATCTCAATTAGGTTGAAACAGTCCGTTTTCAATGCAAACAGTGGCAGCAAGAAAAGAAGTAGAAGTAACTACTATATTATATTAAAATAAGGACTAAACTAAATAAACATTTCAAGGAGGAGAGATGATGCAGTAAAAGGTTTAAAAATAAGCTATATTTTCCAACAAATGCCCCCCACATCATCATCTCCGACCTGAAATAAAAACCGAATGCCAGTATCTTTACAAAATTCAAAACAAGAATAAATAAATATCACAATTTCATTCAGAAATTTTTAAGAAAATTTTTCTTTGGGAAAATCTTATCCCATTATTCAAAAATTTTACCGTAGCAAGAAAGTCCAACATGTTACAAAAACAATACAAAGACATATATATGATCATACGCTCAATACATTTACCCAGGGCCCTGGTCAATCATACAACATTCTACACTATACAATTTTACATTTACCTAATATCCATCATAATATGACTTATAACATATTAGTTTCAAATTAAACAAAACTCTTAATTTAAATACACACAAAAACAAATTTCATAAGAAAATTGTTCCACAAAATTTTATCAGGTTATGCTTAGTCAGCGGTTTTGTCATGGGATCAGCCAGATTATCTTTACTTGGGAACATATTTTAAATCAAAAATTTTCCCTGTTCAATAGATCACGAATGAAAAATAGTTTCACATCTATATGTTTTGTCCTTGAGTTTTCAATGGGTGATTTTGTAAAAACATATAGCAGCCATGTTATCAGCAAACAATATTGGCCTCGAAACATAGTTACTTGCAATTTTAAACTGAATGCATTCATCCAAAATGTTTTTAAACCAAACTAATTCTTTTGCTGATTCAGTCATGGAGATAAATTCAGCCTCCATAGTAGATAAACTCACTCCCCTTTCTTTAAATGTACGCCAAGATACAGGTGATTCTCCCAACAAAGCTATTTGTCCACCAATAGACACCATATCATCCCTGCTTGAAGCAAAATCCGAATCTGAATATATATTGAGCTTCAGTTCCTTGCATACCAGTTTGAGTTTGTGCTGTCTGGTATTGGAAACGTACCCTAAAAGTTTAAGTAATCCTTCCCAGTGAAACTTACCAGGATTGCTTTGGAACTGAGAAAATATATTAACAGCATAAGCTATATCCGGACGAGTACGATTGCAAAGAAACGATAGACATCCCAAAACATTTCTATAAGGATAATTCATCATTTCAGTCGTTTCTTCTTGTGTACTGGGACTTTGAGACTTTGAGTATTTCACACCTTTAACTATTGGAAGGGAAGTAATTTGTATTTTAAAAGACTTAAATCGATTAAACTATGTCTTCTATATATAATTGCTGCTGATGAATTAAAACACTATTTTTCTCATATTCAAATTCCACACCCAGAAGCTTTCTTGTTTTACCTAAAATTTTCAAATCAAAATGTGAACTCAGGACTTTTAATATCCTTTTGGCCTGAACTTCACTTTTCCCAAACACAACTATATCATCAACATAAACCAACAGAATGACAAAATCTTTAAAACGATAGACACAAT